TGATTTTTAATAATCTTTACTACTGATTTTTGGGTTATTATTGTGTGTCATAAATTTGTGTAGTCTTAGCAGAACAGATAGGAAAGGTACAACGTTTTTTATTGTAGGGTACGTATCCAGTAAAGAGAAGAGTTGCGTATACTTAAGCTGTGACTGAATTTGGCTTCCAATGAGATTACAGTCTAATAACTTAAAATTGTAGAATGCAGAGCTATGTGAATGACTGGCACTAATTATTTTAGGGGTGATAGGGGAAAGGAATAGAAAAAGGAGAGAAGAGGAGAAGGGAATATCGTGATTGGTTTTATATATAGTACCTCTGGTTTTAAAAGAAAATGTGAAATTTGTGAATGTCCACAGACCCGATGCTGTTCTTACTGTGGTGCTGGTGTTTTATCTATGCAGTATTTGTAACTGTGCCCTTTGGAACTCTAGTCATAGGTTGGAGAACAATGAGTTGCTAATTGCACCAATTAGGTATCTTTAAGTGTTGTTTTTTACTTGTGTCTTGTAGATAGCATGATAGGAAGCCAGAAACACCCAGTGACTTCTTGATGGACCACTTCCTTTTAAATATTATAAATATATATTTAAAGATATTAAACATTATTTTAATTAGCTGAAATAACAAGCTAATGAATAGATGATGGCAATCATTTGTACTGAGCAGCCCCACCTTTCACGCACAATTCAGTTTTGTAACCAGAATGTGAAGGCTTACACGCAATACACAAATAAAAGTACTAAGTAATATAAAAATTAAACTGTGAATTTAAAAGAAAAGTCTACACAAAAGCATTAAGATTTTTAGTGTCTTGCATTCTCTATCTTTATATTGTAGCTGTGAATGTGTTAAAGTTCATAACTTTGGCGCAGAGTAATGTAATAATTCATCAGGCCACTTACAGAGCGTCAGGATTTTTAGGTGTATATAAAGCCTGTCTGCAACTTTTCTGATTTTTTTCAACAGACCTGCTGGCTTACATTTCCACACCAAATACAGAGGTCTTCTGGAGGAGTAGGAATTCAACACTGCAACATGCTTTATGTAATTCAGAAGTTTAAAAATAAAATTCTTCAGTGTTTCAGTCTACTTGTGGCCTTTCATACTGGTGTTGCCTCACTGTGCATGACGTTGAAAGCAGCTGTATTAACAAAATATACAGCAGAAGAAGAACAAAAGTAGCAGAATTTTAAAAAAAAAAAAAAAAAAAAAAAAAAAAAAGAAAAGAAAATGTCAGCGGCGTCATGACCAAATAGGTCAGCACAGGAGCATGGTAGTCAGTATGTGTGAAAGCCCATAGCATTAAAAGTAAAGATCATCTAAACAGTCTTCCTATATTGATCTGTAGTTAGTGATTCTTTCCGTGGTCACCATTTCATTTTATCTAGTGAATTATCTTTATTGCTTGGGATTAAAGTTTTTAGACAATGAGAAAAGAAATGGCACACCTTGTAAAATAAACATTTTCCTCTTGGGGCTGGGCCTCTGTAAAGGTGAGCTGATCCCACAGTAAGTCTGTAACAAGAAATGGCAGGTTTTATGTGGCAGGCACACTGAACATTGTTTCCCAGGGCTTCAAAGTGAGGACTGGCATCTAGTTTGGTTCCTGCTCTATTGTTGTGAGCATGACTATTTTAAAATGCATCCAGTTCTCCTCCATCAGAGAAGCTGGTGAACCAGGAAGTGGCACAGTGACAAGTGCTTGTAACTGTGCAAAATCTGGTAGCACATTAAATGCAGAAGAGCAGAGCTGGATCCCTTGTCAAACTGAAGTGAGGGGGGTTGAATGCTGGAACAGGTCGCCTGGAGAGGCTGTGGAATCTCCATCCTTGGAGATGTCTGAGACTCAACTGGATGTGGTCCTGCGTAACCTGATCTAATTAGATGTGCTTTGAGCTGGGGTTGTGCTCAATGGCCTCCAGAGGTCCCTTCCAGCCTGAATTACTATTTGATGCCATGAATGGGCACTTTGTACCTGGGAGTTAGGGTGCCACAGAATCAATTAAGTGTCTTGCTGCTAGCTATGCCTGTGGAGTATATAACCCCGCCACGAGGGAGTTTCTGCCCTCCAAGCAGAAAGCAAGCTCCTTTAGCGTTCCTGTTTGTTCCACAAACTTGCAAATTACTGGTTTTAATCTGAAACTTTAACACCCACATAATTAGTACATTTCATAAGCAGCAAGAGGCTTTTGTTTATATGAACTTTTAGATTTGTAAGGAGAGAAAAATGCATGTGCTTGCTGAGGAAAAACATACGTTTTTGTTCCCTGTCGCTTCTGTTCTGCACTGAGTGGCTGAGACTGGCTTGAAGTCTGGAAAATAACTGTAAAAACAAAAGCAGGGAATGGAGAGTATGTTTGTGCTTATCCTTTTCTAGTTGTTGCAATATAAAATCCGCTGATTTGGCAGATTAAATGAAAGGTGCCCCCCTTCACACACGCTAATTGCCAGCTCTCTAAACCTCCTAGGAATTTCCGTTTTCTTCGGCTCACGACATCCTCAGCAGTGGAGGTTTTGTAATTGGAATTTAGTTAGAAGTTTCGCCATATCTGTGAGCCACAACACTTTCCTTGTTCTACATTTTTCTTTGTGTAGTTCAGGTAGCAGTAGGGAATAGTAACAATTTGTGTTGATTAGAATTCACTCAAAGTGTGTGTATGACTGCCACGTAAATTACCTCTTCTCAGTAGCTTGTGGGAGCCTAGCAGGGCACTCGGATCCTGCGGTATGAGGTGTTGTGCGTGGAGTACAAGACAGGTTGAGATTGCAGTGTCTTTGAAGGGGGGGCTCCTTTCTGGCTAGAGTAATTTTTAGTGGTGGCTTTTGGTTTTTGTTGTTTTTAATATGTATGTTTGGATTTATTTGAATGGTCTTGTTAGAAGGTCATGGTCAGGAATGCATCCATAAACTTCAATAAATGTAAACTATTTTTTTTTTTTTTTGTAATGGGAAATTCTGAACAGCCCTAACCATATTGGCAAGGGCATGAAACTTAATTGATGAGTGTATTTTTATTGACAGGTTATTAATAGACATGTCAATCAAGCTGGACTTAGGAGAATACCAAGAACACTATTTTTCTAAGCTGATACCAAACACCTTTATCTGAGTATGCATTAACTTCAGTTGATTTTATTGTGCTTAACTTGCTGTATTATGGGAGGTAAATGATTTGCTTCTTATTTCACTGTGGAGTACCACGTTGTCTTCCTCCCTTCCATTGAGAAATCTATGATAGTCTTATGAATTTTGGTTTTTTGAGATTAAACATTAAAGTACATTTCTTTTAGTAGAGGGATAGGGAAGATAAAGGATGCAACATAAATGTGTTCAGATGTCTTCAGTTTTTTTCAGACACCTGCAACAAATACACCAGTTTTCAACTTCTTTTACGTTTAGTTTCTGTAGGCTAGAACTTGTTGGACTTTGGTCTTTTGAGGACTTCTACTAATTATAGTGGAGTAAACAAAATGATTAAAACCAGATTTTGCAGATTAGCACAGCCGTGCAAATCTTTTTGAGAGTTACTTTATTCAGAAACTACCGTTGCGCAAGGTAGTCTGCAAAATAGAAGATATCTGGAAGAATTTTTGGCATATGCTTTACGTATACCCTGAAGTGCTCTGAAACTTCCTGCAAATTAATGAAGAGACGGTGCTGTCAGGTTGGTTGCCTGTCCGTCTTGTTCCGAGTGCTGCCTCCATAAGGTTTCACACATTGAGGGAAACCACAGGGACCGATGCCCAAACGAAGAGTTGAGGCATAATTTTGTCTTAAATCTTGTGCTCTAGAGCAGGGGTTTGGGGTGGATTTCCCTGCCCGCTTCCTGCTCATCCTGCCGGAGGAGACGGCAGCACTGTGGAAGCGCGAAAGCGGATGGAAAGCGCCTGTGGCGGTGTGCTGCGGGCCTTGCCTTTCCTCTGCCCTGCCGCTCTCTCTGCATCCCTCCCTGTGTGGAGCAGCCCTTGCTGTGGCGTGAAGCCCAAACTAATAAATCCTGCAGAGCCTGTTAGCCTGGGCTTCGCTCTTCTCGGGGCTTTGCCTTTGAAGACATGCCTCAGCAGTTACAGGCTGATGCTTGGGGGGGCTGCTGTAATTTCCCTTTTTTAAACAGCATGTTTTCACACACAGACACAAATGGTAAAGTATTCTGGCCCTTTGTTGGAGAAGTGTATGCCTAGGCGGTATTTCAGACTTGTTTCCTGCAATGCTGGCGATTGTATACCATGTGTTCAACTCATAGTTAATTTTACATGTAGATGTTTCTTATCTGCAGGACAGTTGCTAGGAAACACATGCAAAAATGGAAGATAACTGTGCTTCTATTTGTTACAAGTCTGTTGTTTGTTTGTTGGTTTGTTTGTTGTAATTTTTTGTAGGGGCTTCAGTTTGAAGCAGAAAGCCCTGCCTTCTCAAACCCTGGGGGGTGGAAGTGCTAGTTAGGTGAGACCTTTGCTATTTTTTTTTTTGTCAGCAGTTAAATAGTTAATTGCTATTTGTATTTTTATCTTTATAATTCATAATTAATGGACCACTGGATTAAAGAGGATAGTTAAGACTCTGTTTGTTTCATTTTAGTGACATATTGACAAATATCATGTATAACCAGGAAAATCACAGGCTTAAAGTTGTTCTCTTTGATGATTTTGTCCTGTCCCCCACCTCGTCCTCCACAAATTATTTGATACCTGTAGGTGTAACTTGCCAGTGCTGGTAAGAAACCTTAAAATCTTTGAATAGTAAAGTTATGTAAATAATAAATAATGCTTTCTTAAATCTGTCTTTGCTGCTGAGTGTTTTCTCTATGAAAATACTGAGAGTGTGTTCAATTCTGAAAACAAAATATAGCTCTGAAGTGTATTCTTAGGTGTTTTCCTGATTTGACTCCCAAAGTGACCAATATGATGCTTTTCTTAAAGCCAGGGCTGCCATGCTGCTGTTGCTTTGTGACCTGCTGTAATTTGGAAAAGTCAAATGTTGAATTTTCTCTCAACAGAAAATTTTTAAAGCTGGAGATACTAACCAGGATGGACAGCTGGATTTTGAAGAATTTATGCAGTATCTTAAAGATCATGAGAAAAAGATGAAACTGGCATTTAAGAGCCTGGACAAAAACAATGATGGTATGCTTTGATTTACTTTATTTGTTCAAATGTTGTTTGAAGAAACTGTGCATTAAAAGTTATCTTCATTTATATTCTTTGTCTAAACTGGAGACAAAAAGTTGTGAATGTGGAACCCCTACTTCTTTTCTTTAATAGGATCATAATTATAGTTTACTATAGATTGAAATAATAAATTATTATAGTCTTTTTTTCCTTTTTATTATCTTCCAGGTCTGTTGATCTGGGACTCTTTGTTCCCCAGATGGAGAAACTATAAGGAAGTTTCTAAGTATCTATTAAAGATAAAATTGTTTTGAACTCACTGAATGTTTGCATCTCATTTGGTTGCTTGATTTTAATGTACTTACCTTCACTCAGTCCTTGTAGTAAAATACATCATCTGTGTTTAAACTGATTTTAAGTTATCTTTGCTATTATGTAGGTGTTACAATGGAACTTGGTGAGCTCCAAGGTGCTAAGTGTATTAAGCTCCATGTTTTAAATATGTATCATCTTTCTTTTAATGTTTCAAGGAAAAATTGAAGCATCAGAAGTTGTCCAGTCCCTCAAGATATTGGGTATAAGCATTTCAGAAAAACAGGCAGAAAAGATCCTGCAAAGGTCAGGAATTATTCTTTCTTAAAGTATTTTAAGCTTCTTTGTATTGTTAATTATTATATTTTTATAGTTCAGAGAACAAGATGAATGGGATTATAACTTTGAAAGGTGTTGGTACATTCAGTGGTGCCATTATAGGAATTCTCACATATTCCATCTGTTCTTGGGTGATAATAAGTCTAGTCCTTATTTGAGCATCTGGTTCTGGGAGGAGAGTGTTATCTCATTTTCCTGTAAATGTTGTTGATAGAATGAAGTGTTATATTATGTTTTTAAATGGAATATGCCAGATGCACTTGGATAAGAAAACCATAGTATTGAAAGGCCATGGCAGATACAGCCTTGAAGTCTCCGTGTCGAATTTACAGTCAGTTGTCGCTGATGTGATGGCCAATATTCCAAAAAAAAAAAAAAACGGGGGGGGGGGGACGAACAAAACAGAACAAAAAGGCATCCCTGCTACTATTTGCTTATCTAGTTTTGTTCAATTTCTTTTCAGTATTGATGCTGATGGGACAATGACAGTAGACTGGAATGAGTGGAGAGATCATTTTATGTTTAATCCAGCTACAGACATTGAGGAAATAATTCGATATTGGAAACATTCCACTGTAAGTTCAACTTTTCTTTTAACTTAGTGCAACTCTTAAGTTCATCCCTCCTGGGTTCATTTGCGATATTGAGTGTAACAGCTTCACAATTGTTATATTTGAAGTATATCTGTATTTAAGATTGTTTGGTTTTCCTTTTCACTTTGTGCTCTCCGATTTACAAGCAGGTTACTGTGATGCGAGTTTCTTCTGAACGAAGAACTTCATCTAAACTTTGCCAATAATTATCAGTAATTCTTACGAAGGATTCCTTTTCTTCCTTTGGAGATATTCCACAGGAAGATGATAACCACAATATTAAATCTTTTTCTTTTCACATTACAGTACATTCCTGTGTTCAGTGCTTTTGATGTGTTGAAACAAATGATAGAAACATTTTAACTGTTTCGTATGTTGAAATTAGTTCACTATTTGCATTTATATAGTAATATTATCACTATCATAAAATCACCGGTGTCATTAGTGATGATTTTCTGTGCATATGTTCTCACACTCTTTTGTGCTATAGAATTTCATTTAAGAATGACAGAATATACAGCAATAGGCTATCCACTGTGCAGATAATTTTTTTTAAGTTACTGTTGAATGGAGCTCTTGCCACCTCAGTGACTGACTTTTAAGAACTAATAATAGGGTAAGTAAACCAATAGTAATTCTGGGGGCTTTGAGCAACCTGGTCTAGTGGAAGGTGTCTCTGCCCATGGCAGGGGGGTTGGAACCAGATGATGTTTAAGGTCCCTTCCAACCCAAACCATTCTGTGATTATTGGAGTAATCCATAAAGTTAGGTAAAGAAAGATTTCTTTGAATATAGTGAGACCATTTATATCTTCAGGGATTAGTCAGCATTCCCATGATAAAAAACAGTTTGAGATCTGAAAGCTTTGAGTGTTTCATACTGTACAACCTCAATTCAAAAATGCTTGCCAAAAGGGAGTTAGCTCCCTGTTTGCTGAAGAAAACACTTGAAGCACTGCTATGAGATCAGATAGTCCTGGTCCCAGCTTACATAGTGGAAAAAACCCCTTTGCTTTAATAAAATGCTTTGTATTACTATTATTAAACATAAGATCTGGATTTTTTTTTCATTATGGAATGTCATTAGTTACCCCCAAGAAAAAATTTTAGAAGTCTCTTGTGGTCTTCCAGTGTTGCAGTCAGCTGATGACCCAGTTATCACAGCAGGCAAAATCCAGCTATACGGCAACACAGCTGGTGTTTCAGATAAGAGCAGATGTGAGACCTCACATGCCTGGCTGGCATTGACAGCTCTTCCAATTCTGTTTTTATTGTAAAATTTTAATTGCTGTGAGATTCTTCCAAGCAGATAGCTGCATTGGCATAGAATTATTATGAGTTGGTAGCTGTCGTCTTTCTGTTATAAACCCCCTCAAATTTAGCTTTTTTTTCTTAGCTGTGTTTAGGGCTCAGTAGACACAAGGTTTAAACCCTGGTAGATATGCATAATATGTCTAAGAACATTGAATGTATATTTTCAGAGTTCTGATTGATCTTTTGGTGGCTCTATGGAGTTGAGCAACTGATGACACCTTGGAAACCACGAATGTCAGAAAGATGAATGGATTTTTCAATTAATCTGTTCTGTGTTCAATATCCAGAATAGTTGGTGCTTATCCTGTTTGTCCAGTGGCAATAATCTATAATCTGCATCCTGCAATTCTTGTGTTCCATATGACCAAGACAGTATTCCGTCTACTTAACAGATAGGGAACGCAGCATAAATTAGGGACATAGTGTCTACAATTAAAATCAACAGTAGTTTTTTAACAAAAGAGTTCATCAGTTAACATGTTTTCTGGTCAGTACTTATCAGTTATTAAAACATTCTTGCTTCTTTATAGGTTTAATTTATGCATAATATTGGCTTTGCATTATCTACAGTGTATTTTGTCTCATATATCATGGTTATACATTCCATGAAGAGCAGAGACTATGTTTAAGTGATATGTGAGATTCCATAGCCTTATGTCTTGGACAGCTTTATTGCTAAAGCCTATAGTAATGTTGTTCTTTGATCAAATTGAAGGGCAATACAAACATGCACCTCTTAATGAAATTTCAAACTTCTATAGCTGAAAAAAGTTATTAATGTGTCTTTCAGTGTATCTGATGATAAGAAAATCTATAAAGCATTAGTCAACCTTGTCATTTTGTAAGATAATACACAGCAGTTACTGGAAATAGAATATTCTGATATATCAGCTATAAAAAAATGCTACTTTAAAATGTTAGGGGGGGGCGGGAGGAAGGGGAAATCCCACATATGTGTGAATAAATTACCATGAGAGAGAAATCTCTTGTTAGCATCCTTAGGAGATTACCGCACTAATCCCAGAAGGCTGTCCAGTGAAAGGTTACCCGCAACATATAAGCATTTGAGCTTTAGTGCTGGCTGTAAAGGTCTACTGATCATGACAGAATGTCTTTCTTTGGGCCATACTCAAGGCAGAAATTCATCATAATTTTTAATGATGATGGTGCAGTCTTTGAAATGGTGGGTCTGTGGTGTTATTACTCAATATCTATGTAGAAGTCATTAAAAGTTGCTGTTTATTGAATAGCAATCCATAGCAAGTTAATTTATAGAATGTAAATTAGAGAGATTTTTAATTTTTAACTAGCATTTTACTTACATATTCTCAGGTCGTAGGTTAATTTGGAATTAGAACTGGTGATAAAATTGAGATGATGGAATGAGATAGTTATTTGCACATCTTTGCTTTGGATTCTAATAGGTGTTGGATATAGGAGATAGTTTGACTGTTCCAGATGAGTTCACGGAGGAAGAGAAAAAGACTGGACAGTGGTGGAAACAGCTGTTGGCAGGAGGAGTGGCTGGTGCTGTGTCTCGGACAGGTACAGCACCGTTAGATCGCCTTAAAGTGATGATGCAGGTAGGTGTAATGTTCAAGAACTTCTTAGTTTCCAATGTATCACTTCACTTTTTAGAGAGCTGTTACGGTAAACTGATGGCCAAATGCAATATCTAAATTCTGGAGGTCTAGTTATGGTTTGACAATTTCCATAGTTTGTGTTCATAAAAATTGTCCTTTCCATAGTCATATTGGCAAAAATGTAAACAAAATATTATAGTACTTGTGCCACTAAAATAAGATTTTTTTCAATAGTGGATGTGTCTTTGCTAGTTGATGTATTTAAGCAATTTGATGCTTGGGTGATGAGTTTTACAATCTAATCAAAGCAGTGTTCTTTACTGTGACTTTGTTTTTTTTTAGGTTCATGGTTCAAAATCAAACAAAATGAATATAGCCAGTGGTTTTAAGCAAATGTTGAAAGAAGGTGGTGTCCGATCCCTCTGGAGGGGAAATGGTGTAAATGTTGTGAAAATAGCTCCTGAAACAGCTATTAAGTTCTGGGCTTATGAACAGGTAGGATGATAAATCAGGAATGAAAATAATGGTAAAAGAAACACTATATCACTCTCACTGTTCATTATTCTTACTGTTGTATTATATAGGAGTTCTTATCATGGTTGAGGATTTTGTCACAGTAATTTAGAGTGACTTTCAGATTTTAAATAGGCTATTTATTCTGTTAATACAGTATTTGGTATTAGGCAGATTTTGCTATTGTATTATAAGCAGTGTAAATAAACTAAATCTGTCATACATTTTAAACTGTCTTCCAGTCTGCATAGCTTTATATGGAGTCGTGCATTAATATCTAGTTTGTTGCTTCGAAGTGACAACCGCCAAAAACGTCGCACTTTACGCTAGCTGAACTTACACAGGATTCTTTTTAAGTCAAGTATCATGGTGCTATGTAAGATGCCCTCAGCCCGGATTTCAGAGTTATATTTACCTCTGAATCAGCTTTAAGCATCATGTTAAGGCCTAATCCTCCTTTGGAAGATGAACTCCAGTTCTGGTGTAGTTAAATGATCGTGCTAGTGCCTCAAGTAAGACTAAATGAACATATTGCACATCTCTCTACAACTATGAAATAAAAGCAGTAAAAAGTCAAGTAAACTTTGGGATATCGGAAGACTGAACGACAGATTTGGATGTAACTTTGAGCACATTATTCCTTACTCTTGCTCTGCCTTTTGGGAGCTGATGGCACATTCTTGCATGATGGTGTCTGTCTTGAATGAAACAGTATATACAGCTCTCTAAGTGTCTCTGTGAATGTGCTAGTTGATCTTTCATTCTTTGATTGGAGAACTGGATCTGCAAGGGAGTTGGGTTCCTCTTTGTTATCTGGCCGTAGTGTGGGTACCCTTGTGTTGGCTGTTTGTAGAATTCCTGACAGTACTGTGGGTGGCTGAGGTGTTTAATGTAAAAGGATTCTTGTGGGCTGGAATGTTTATTGTATTCTTGAGAATCTTTGTCTATGGAGTTGCAATGAGTATAGTGCTAAATTTTTTGGGTTAGTAAATGTAACTGTAAATACATGAAAAAGTAAGTACAGCTTGAAAAGACATTTTGTACTGTACTCCTGCATCTCATAGTAACTCTTGCTACTCCTAAAAAGCACATGATGTTTATTTATGTGTTTTAACTATACAGTATAAGAAGATCCTGACTAAGGATGATGGTAAGTTAGGCACCGTGGAAAGATTTGTATCTGGTTCTTTGGCTGGAGCAACAGCACAAACTTCTATTTATCCCATGGAGGTAAGGAACAGAGAATCTGCTTCCATTGGAGACTCTGCCAAATGTCTGGTTCATTTGCAAAGTAAAACCCATTTTGCTCTTGAAACTATTGTAGGAATTCCTCTACATTGTTACATCCTAATTTATTTTTTACTTTAGACTTCCTTTCAGAATTCCAGTACTAGGCATTTTAGAATGTTCTAATTGACATTTGTCTTTTTTCTATACATTTGGATGTATAATATTGTCTAAAGTAATGTTTAAATAAAACCTAGTTCAGGGAAAAAAATAATCCAAGAACGCATTTAAAATTAGGTACATATTCCAGTTATTTTCTAAATTGGGCATAAATCTTTTTCCTGCTGTAGGTAAGCAAGGAATGGTCTTTTCCGTAGCAGAACTGATGAAGTTCTGTTGCATTATGATTGGGAGCTGGGTCTGATTAGGACATCAGTGAGGAGCGAGAATGTAACAGCTACAGTTGAGGCTGGGTGGATTAGCTGCTCTTTCCTCTCTAGGACATATTTGTATGTGGTACTACATATGTCGCAATGTAACTAGCGTTACTATATTAACTGCTCTAGGGTAGCTATTTCACACCTGCTTTTTTTTAAATAGAAGTGGGATGTACTTCCTTTACTGCTGGTTCCCCAGAAAGTTTATCATCTTGTGCAAATAACTGGAATATATGTCGGATCTGGGGTTAAACCAATACCAACATCAAGATTTGGAAGTAATGGAAAATGTAACCTAAATACCTTTTTCCTAGGGAGGGCTGTCAGTAGGAATAGAACTTAGCTGTTTTCATTGCTGACGGTGATAATGGTCTCTTTAAATAGCATCCTTGCTGTCAGAGCTGCTGAATCCCAGCTAGCCTGAGCACAGAGATGGGTTAAGTTGCAGAATAACTGAAATGTTATGTAGATCATCTGGATTATACTGATCAATGGAGACAGGTGAACTATTCTACAACAAGATGCTCTGATCTTCCTAACAAAGACATACTACTGTCCTAGAAGTGTTTTTTAGGGTGTTTCTAAGTAAACGGGAAAAGTAAAGTGTCAGGAAAATCCTGTGGAAGCTGCAGTCTTATGAGGCTTTAAAGTAGGCCAAATTCTTGCTCAGGAAATTCCCTCTGTGGTTTCTTTTGGATACTATTAAAATTTCTTTGTCCTAAGATGCTGTATAGACTTATTTGCATTATTAATCAGGTGCGGGGTTTCAGGAGTGAGACACAATCTTTATATCCCTTAACTACCTCTCAAAGGCTCGTGCTTTTTGAAAGATTATTTTCTTAATATGCTTTGCGGTTCCCAGATCAGAAGTGTGATCTGGTAGTATGTTAATGCTCTCACTTGTTCTTTAGCTAATGCTTCTATTAAATATCGCCCACACTGTCGCCTTCAAGTTGATCAAAAATCTGCCTGTTTTAATCAAGAGAAGAAAGCTAAAATGCAATTTAAAAAGGCTAATAATTTGTCAGCTAGTGTATGGTAGTATGCGTGCTACTCTGCTTTAATGATAAAAACTGAAGAAGCCTATTGCTAACAAAGCCTTAACAGTAGTCAGCACAAAGGAGATTTGAAGTACCAAAATGCAAAGCAGTTCCAGACAATTGAATAAGCAGAGAAATAGTGTGTTTTCCTGTGTTTATAAAATACATTAATAAATAGGTATGTAACTAAGGCTACTATTTTTTCCACTTTAGGTTTTAAAGACCAGATTGGCTGTGGGTAAAACAGGGCAATATTCTGGGATGTTTGACTGTGCTAAGAAGATCTTAAAAAGAGAAGGTGTAAAGGCCTTCTACAAAGGCTATATTCCTAATATTCTGGGTATAATTCCTTATGCTGGGATTGACCTTGCTGTTTATGAGGTGAGTTTAGATCACTGAATGTACCTAGCTTTCATTAGTTAATTTATGACACAGGTAAATATTCTTTAGAATACCTGTATCATTAGTTAGATTTGTAACATGCTTGTAGTGTTACAGTTGCCTTCGGTTTTTGAAAAGGGTAAATGAGAATTTCCACCAATCTTACTTGACTTTAACGTTTTTCTTTGTCCGCCCCTCCTGGAGGAGTGCTGTGCCAATGGGCCTCTACATGCAACAGCAGAAACAAGAAATCTACTCGTAAGGCAGGATTATGTAGACCTTGGCAATACAACATGCTTGCATACTTAAATAACCTTCTTGGACTGGAACATACCTGTTCTATAGCAAATGTGGGCCTTAAAAACCTGATATGACATTCATATTGTGTTAGCTATCCTGCATTTATGATATTTAATACATTTTTTTGCCTGATTTATAATTGGATTATAACAACCTGAATTCCTTGTGTATCTGTGTATGTCACCAGAATTCGTTGTGGCTGATGTATAGTTGCTGTGAGGAGTTTGAAACGCTGCTCTTTTTCCTTCCAAGAGGAACTGGCACCTCTTACACCCATGAGCAACTATTAAAATGTTTTGTCTACCTTAGATGCTAGGTGTTGCTTCAAAGTGTGCTAAGTAACTCGGATGCACAGACTAGGTTTTTTTTTTTTTTTTACTCATGTGCTAAGGTGTTTACCTGTGCACTTTAAAAGTAAGCATAGTGAAATCGGTGCTTTTCAGGATTGAGCCCGTAAGATTTCTTATGACTAAAGATGTATTTGTTTACTTTCTTGAATGCAAATCTCTTGTCTTATTATTATTTATATCTTGGCAGGTCTTAAAGAGTACATGGCTAGAACACTATGCATCAAGCTCCGCTAACCCAGGTGTTTTTGTATTGTTGGGATGCGGTACTGTTTCCAGCACATGTGGGCAGTTAGCCAGTTACCCTCTTGCTCTTATCAGAACACGCATGCAGGCTCAAGGTGAGTCCAGTTGTACTCAAAATGTTTCTGTGTGGTCACGTCAAAATCGTATTGTTTGGGATAGCTGTAGCAGAGAGATGGGAATAAAAAACCCAACTTGGAAAACCAAGGACTTCTCTGGAAAATTCTTCTTAACTTTGAACCCTTCTCCCTATTACCCCCAACATTGTTCTTCATCATGCTTAATTAAAATGTAACATTTCAGACACTAGTGCTCTGTGTGCTCCAAGAGCCGTGTTCCATACAAGACTACCAGACATAGAGCTCCTGTCATAGTCTGCGAGCACTTTTCTAAAAGATAGAATGTTTCCTAAATTTTGGAGGTAAAATGAAAAGGACTTGCATCATCCTGTGAAGGCAGACAGCAATGTTTGCTCTGGAGGACATTTCGTAAAGACAGTTTCATAGCTGAGATTTTTGCCTGATAGGTTTGTGCACAGACTAAGGATAGGAGCCTAGATTTCCAAAGGGATGTAGATGGATAGCGCTTTTCAGTGGGATTTAGACACATGGATATCTCTCAAATGTCTGGGATTAGAGAGATCTCCTCTCTGTGAGGACTCAAGTTTTAATCAGTGGCCCTAGAGGTGATAGTAGGCTCACCACCCAGGTGTTTAATACTTGCTTAAGAATTTTAATATTACTAGAACTGTTGTATAACACATTATCTTTTTGTTCTAGCCTCAGTGGAAGGAGCTCCACAGCTAAACATGGTCGGTCTCTTTCAAAGAATTATTGCTGTAGAGGGAGTCCGAGGACTTTATAGGGGCATAGCCCCTAATTTTATGAAAGTGCTTCCAGCTGTCAGCATCAGCTATGTTGTATATGAAAAAATGAAGCAGAATTTGGGAATAGCATGAAATGAAGAAAAAAGGTGAGATGCTTCTACTGTTGTTGGAAACACCAGAACAAAAATGATTTCTCAAGTAATCTGCTCTCACAATTAGAGACAGATCTTTGTGGAGAGATGCTGCAACTTCTACTTTTGCCCTGAAGTGGGAGGAAACTTTCTTAAATGCTAGTTCACCATTTCTAAACAGATACCTATATTGCACTTTAAAATGTCACTGCGTTTAAAAAAAAAAAAATCAAGAAACTATCTTTAAATCAACCATATGTTTATATTTTCAGGAAATCATGCATATATTACTCATTGGCTTTTTTTTTTTTTGTATTTGTCTTCTCTAAATGTGTATTTGGCTTGGATCAAACCAAAGGTAGGAGAAGTTTATACTGCCTTGATACTGAATATATGAAAGTGACTTTTTGTTTTGTCACGCTGCCTATACTCAAACAATTCACAGGCAACATTTTGCACGCCTAGAAGTAAGCACTTACTATTGTTATTTTTGAAGACTTCATGTTAAGTTCGTAAAAAATAGGATCTTAGATACAGACAAGGATGGAGTAACACATTAGAATGTAGCCCATCACCTTTATCTTCAGGCTAACCTTTTTTTTTTTTTTTTTTTTTAATTTGAAGAATAAGAGCCTGAGAAACTGCTGTTCCATGGTATCAGAATACCTCAAATGAATTTACATGGTATTTTTGTAATACAATCAGTGATTTTCATAACTTGCTTCACTGGACCTGCTTTTCATTGCACTTGTAAATGCTAGCACCGTTAACCGTGACAAACTTTGGGTTACAGCTGCACGTTTTATAGGATCATAATATACAGGAACAGAAAAATCTTTGTTACTAGATCCATTCCGCACAAGTGCAAGTTACTGTTTAAAAACAGGGTGGAGGATCCAGTATTAAGCTGATGGCGATTGTAATATAGCCAATAGCGGAGGTCATCATAGCTGCCTTGGGGAGAGAAATGCTTCTCGTTTTGGACTCTCCATTCTTTCCCTTACTCAGAGGGCTACAGTCCACTATGTGCTTTTAGCCAATAGAGGATTGCATTATTATGTAAAGGTTTTACAGATTTGTCATGTGAGATAAA